AGAGAGAGGACAAATAAAGCGCTTAACAAGGAAAGTACCCGAAGTAACACACTCGCTCATCCGAAGTAATTTTTGAATTTTTTTATCGATATATTTGTAGGTTCTGAAATCATATATTAACTTTATCTTGACGATTTTGAAATAATTAATGTTCCTAAACTGATAAAAACTGAATGTTTTTGGCAGCCAAATTTAAATCATTCCTCAAACGAAGAACATTGTTAGTTATAGAAAGTTAATTCAAGACACACAGAAAATTCTCTAAACACGGAAACTGTAATATTTGCGATTTAAAAGAATAAATTCAAAAGTTTGAATTCCAACAGTAGAATAAGCTATAAATTACATAAATTATATTTTCGATTTTAATATTTTCATATTTATATATTACAATTTATATAAAGCTGTTTTTCGAAACGCTGTCGCCAAGGAAATTAAAAAGGCATAGTTTAAGTGCCTTACACTTGAAGCAAGAAAGTGATTTTAAACTCTATATATATCCTTGTTTTGAGGAGCTTTAAAACAGACAAATAACTTATATATTTCAAAATTTTCAAACTTTCTTAAAAATCACCAAATTTGCGACCTAGATAAAATTTATTAAAATCCCCGAATTATTGTCAGTTTTTGCCAATTTTTATGAGCCCATTGAAATAGGATTTGAAATATTAAAAAATTAGACAACCAGCATATCTGTAGCACAATATTTTGTAAATTACGCACTGTATTTTTAAAGTAAGGTTAAATAGAAATTTACTCAATTCTTACTAAATTCAGTTACTATTTTTGGATTTTGGCGATTTATCTTTCCAAGTTCTTTTTTAACCCAGTTACAGTACAAACCTTGCGGAGGGGATAAAAAGTCAGTAAAATCACCTCCGTTTTCATTTTTACAGTTTATGAAACGAAACACTAGAAGCACAATTTATTCATAATGAAATTATAAAAAATACAAATATTGTGAAACATTTTTTTTTATCTGCAGTGCAAAAGGTATTAAAATGACGCGAGATAAACAATAAACGGAAACCATAAATAGCTCACCTAACCTCTTCAGAATTGGAGTTAAAAATTTATATTGGCTCAAATAACTTTAAGTTTGAAAACTTTCATATTTTCAATTATAAACCTTCAAAAGATGAAAATAAAAATACAAATGCTGAGATACACTTTTTTTTAAATGTTTACCATAATCAAGATTTTACTATACTCTTTGAAAAAATTGTGACCAAAACTACCAGAATATGATGAAATTTACAGTTTGTCTTGCTGTATGGGAACATCAAAAAAACTCGCTAATTTCTACCGGAGATCATTGGTCATGATTTTGATAAAATGAAGAATAAAATATTATTAAATAAAATGAAGAAGAATATATTAATAATATGTAATAAAATTTAGTAAATGTGATAAAATTTGGTAATTTTAACATGATATCTCAGAGCCCGATACTATATGAACATAAAAGTTACGAAATCAATGATATAAATAATGTATATTGTGGTTTTATTAAACAAAATTTGGCTTTTTTTTTCAAACCAGTAATGTTATTACCTCACTCTAAGGTAATTATATCGGAATTTTTTCCTCTGTGTAGATATTAAACTAAAAAAGGTTGTTTCGTACATAATTTAAGTTTTTAAAACTTATTTTTTATAATAATCATGTTAATGGTGTACATTGATCATATTTATTTCGTCCTTTGATTGTATAGCGTTTTACCACTTCGAGTCATTTATAAAATGCAGTTTGTAACGAATTTTTTAGGGAAAACAATGCAAAAAATATTTTAAAAATATATTTGAATTTTTTTCTTCCTTAGCTAAATTTAATTTATTTAGAGGAAGTATTAGTTATCGTAAGAATACTCTTTCATGTGCCAAATTATTTGCATAAATATATTACCCAAAACATTTGTACAAATGAGGTTTTAAACTATTAAACCTTGTATTTTAAATGCATTCACCTATTGCATCTATATCTAAATTTTATTTAATTAGAGGAAATATAAATTACTGGTTTTAGTTATAATTTCATGAGCCAAATGATTTGAATAAAAAAAATTACCCGAATCATTTGCATAAACAATGCTTTAAATTATTAAACCTTGTATTTTAAATACATTCACCTATTGTTAGACTCTTTTAACAACCACTGCTCTATTTTTAGCTATATAACTTATGGTACTACAACTTTGTTCATTTAAACTACGCAGATTTAAAATTATTTTGAAACGTATTAAATGAATTTTGATTTATATAATTATAAGTTTAAATTTTGGAATAGTCATATAATGTAGAAAATGGAAAAGTAAAATAAAAAAGCAGAGAATTACATGGGTCCTTTCTGCGTGTTAGCGAAAAAAGGAGAGTTGAACAATCGGTGCCCAATATTATCCGCAGCGGGTCTCAGCAATTGAATAAAACAAAGTTCGCAAATCACCGCCTTTTGGGTCTTTAGGTTAGCAAAGTGAGCCGTTTCCCACGTTCTGCGATTTTGCAGGTGGAAAATATCCCATAGGATCAAATACATATGGTATTGTGTCGTCCACCAACTCCAAACTTTATTTGTTTTTGCTTCCTTTTACAAAGAAGAAGATACCAGTTAAACATAATTTTGAAAATTGTCGCCTTCAAAAAA